ATCTGATCTGCTAATTTTATCCCTACAGCCTGAGCCCCTCTCCCTGCCCCCCTCCCCAGCCAGAGTCAGCTGACCCCCACTCTGAGACTTGTTGCAGTGTCTTTTGTTTGAGTTTTGGCTTTGTTTTATTTTTAGACATACCCTGAATGAGGCAGGGTCCTGTGTTAATGAGCGCTGCAGTGTGTGATCCTGTCATTAAAGATCATACAATAATGCACAGACACAAGGAGGCTGGACTAACAAGGCCCAGACATCCTTGATTGTGGCCCTGCCTCAGACTGCTCGACTTCGCAGCGTTCAGGACATGCTTTTACTGTAATATTTTGAGGGTAAAGTGGATAGAAATCCCCTCCAGTTTTCCGGCTCTACCATAGAATAAAGAGGCAGATATTACATCCTCCAATCTTGCCCCTTTTCTCTCCAATAATCAAATATTGCAGTACACATTTTCCCCTCTATTCACTTACTGAATTTTAGTGCACCGCCCTCAGATGTTGATCACTTTCTCTCTGTTGAAGGATTACTAATATAATCTCTGCATAAGGATCACTTATTTATCCTTTAAATACCCACTTGATACAAAACGTTTCTGATTTTGCTTTTTTCCTGTTGACAGCCAATTTTTCCTCATTTTCTTCTCATTATCAAATGCGGCTATAAATTCTCCTCAACATTCACAGATTATTTCTCTCTGGAATTACTGAATGATACCAGATTCCCTCAGTTTGGGAGGAAATTGACCGCCCTGAGTCATTCCCACTGAAGGGGGTTGGGATTTAAACCCGACAAGGATCAACTTTCCCAGCAATATTTGAAAATGGAGATGTTTCCTCCCTGTTCAAGGAGCTGTGGTGCTGATATGGGGATGTCTCATTCCCAGCAGTGGGTAAAATGTTAATAAATCCCTCATTCATAGCCCCAGCATTAAAGAGAAAAGTGGGGTTTGGGTTGCAGTTAGCATGGCATCCTCCTATGGTAAAAACAAGCTGTAGGGAGTCTGTTGTCACAGGGGGGAAATCCCTGCTTCACAGTCTTTTAGGTGCCTTAAGAATGGTATTAACTGTGCTTTTGAGGGGAAAAGAGAATAAATTAGGTGAGACAGGTTGGAGCTGTGGCTGGAGTCCAATCCTGCTCCCTATAAGACAAAAGAAAACAATGATCCACAAAAGGGGAGAGAACAGCTCAGCAAAGACAGAAAACGCAGCCTCTGCGGTCAGGGCTCAGTCTCACTTGCAGCATCACTGCAGGAGAAACCCGGCGCGGCCTGCCGGCTGATCAGCCCCTCTGAGACATGGCAAACTTCTCTCTGCATTGGGCTGGCTAAGGCGGCATTGCTTTGAGCTGCCTCTCCGGTCACAGGCTACCGGCACTGGTGCAAAATGTGGCGCTGTCTTGGCTGGCTGAGGCAGACGTGCAGGAGACAGAAGGCAAAAGGAGAGAGAGAGAGCAGAAGAAGGGGGAGGAGAAAATGATGCATGAGGGGAAGGGTGGCAGGAGACCCCCAAGTCTCACAACTGAGGGGGAGTTCAGGATTTAGCTGAAGCTGGTGGAGTTCAGGATGTCGGCTGGTTCCCCCGCTACGACTAGTCTTGGTCAGGTCGTCCTTGAGCATCAGGATGATGAAAGCCCATCAGTGCCGTGCTGGGTCCCAGGAGACATCGGGGTTTGGTAGCCACGATGGTCAATCTTGCTCCTTCCTGTCCCTG